TCTTTCTTTATTCCTTTTTCTTTTTTTCTTTGTCTTTTCCCTGGATGCTACGAAACGAGGAGGAATCTATGATGGGGGTGATAATGGTGTAAGATACGCTGAATCGGTGGGATTGGATGGATGGATGGGACGGATCATACATACACATACATACAAACCCACTACATAACTAACCTATGCAGAGCATAATGATAATGTTATTGAAGAAAACAAACATCACTATTATTTCAAAGTCACAAGTAATACTAGGTAGAGAGAGAGAGAGAGAGAGAGAGAGAGAGAGAGAGAGAGAGAGAGAGAGAGAGAGAGCAAGCATTGGGTTCTATACGAATTTCTGTCCCTCTCGCCATGTTCTATCTGCACTTGAGGGAGGAGAAAGAGACAGGTAGGTAAGTAGAGATATAACCTATTTGATTATCATGTAGATGTCTTACTAGTACGTTTGATGTGATCAGGGAATGAATCAACAATGCTTTACAAAGTTGGTAGACAGATTGATTGAGTGAGTCGTGAGTAGATAATAACATAGAGATAGATGTAGCATTCCACCCACCCACCCACCCACTACCTATTCAGCGGGAACACACGAGTTGATCATAGCTGTTTAGCACTCAAGCTGGCGGGACGAGATTCATGTTCTATTTAAGAAATAAAAATAAAAAAAAGAGGTGCTGCGGCTGTTGTTTTGAGGGTAAAATTTGGGAATGTGTGGTTGATTGAACCACAGCTTTAGATTACTCGAAAAGAAAGATTCTACAATAGTCTACTGTGGAAGCACTGGAAAGAGTATAGACAAAGTCTAATGCAATTAAGTTTCTATGCAACGAGACCAGCGCCCAAAAGCACCGGCAAATGCACGAAATGCAGTACAAACAAACAGAACAGTCTTTCTCCGAGGTGCCACACGCCACCAAGTTTCTCGCACACGGTCAGTCCATGATGTTTCTCGGGCCCGAAGGCCAAGTACTAAACCCAAGGTCCAACCACAAACGATTCCGTTGAGAAGCGTAGCCAAGCCCAAGCATAAGCTTGCCCGAAAGCAGCTTAGACGAGGGAGCCGAGGGCAATGCAGGGAAGACCAAGGCCGATGAGGTCGTCGTCCTAATCCGATTAGCCTGTGATGATGTTGCTGGTATTTGGAGATACTCACGGTGGTAGAGGGGGACGACTGGCAGCAAGCAATGTTCTGCTGGCACTGCTTGTTGATGATGTCCTGGACGGCGATCCCGATGATGGGGACTATGATCATTAGCTTTGGTGATGGACGTAATTGTTGTGGAAGACCTACTCTGGAGAGGGAGCTTGGAGCACTCCTGGAAGAGACCAAGACCCTCGGAGCCGGATCCAGTACCAATGAGGTTGGACAGGGTACCAGCGAGGAGACCGCTGTCAACGTTGGTGCTGTCACCAGCGTAGGTGGCCTTGTTGCAGCAGGACAGCTGAGCCTGGTCACCGCACTTGTCTTCGGCCTGCTTGACAGTCATGTCGCCGGGGACGGGGAAGCGAACGTCGCTGTTGCCCTTGTTGCCAGCACCGTTGGCGTTGCCGGGGCCGTTGTCATCAACGGAGGAAGGAGAACCACCGGGCATGGCCACGACGGTGGCAGCGAAAGCAAGAACAGCAGCAGTGATGGAGAACTTCATTGTGACGGTGGGTTTGGAATTGAACGAGAGTTGAAACTCGGAGTTGCTTGTAAAAGAGCGCTTGTCTGGAAAGACTGGACTGTAAGAGAGAGAAAGAAGGCTTATCAACGAATGTGATTGATGCTGATGAAGAGAATCGATTTCCGGGCGACTTCGAACACCCTTATATAGATTTCGGTGGAGGCCTCGAGCTCTTAGCCAAGACGCTGTAGGATGAGTGTTGTGCCTGCGGAACCCATTCATCCGCACATACACACTCGACCTGCTTCCCCTTGTGGAATGCGAGATGCAAGGACATCCCTTCTCGTTCCTGACCTCCTATGTCCCAATAGCTGTCATTGTAGCTCAACCGAGTCGGGCTCCCTAAGCAGTTGGCATGGATCGACCCCTGGTCCAAGTCGTGCATGCCCGGCATCAGTGCTGTTTCCGCATACCGTGAGATAGCATGACTGGGGTGCATTGCAGGCCAGCCAAGGTCTCATTCCTCCTCACTTTCCCTGCAGATCCTCATGTATGCGCCTCGGGCGGCTAGCCTATTCGGCGGTTCAGACTCATGTATGTATGGCTGGGAGTTGATTCCACAGCCATACTGGGAATCCCTCGACCAAGATTTACTCTTTAACGCGCCACAAAGTGCCCAATCTCGCTTCTTCCCATATTGCTTCATCTTGATTGGCACAACTAGCCACCGTGCTATGACTAGGCCCGTGCAATGTTGTCCCACCTCACAGCTCGTGCGGTATGCAAGTTACTGCAAGAACACTCGTAAGCTCACAGAGCATATGCAATGGTATGTGCTCCTCTGCAAGGGATTCCTGACAGAAGATCGTTCTCTCAAGCCACCCCAGTTACGAGGTGTAAGTGGCAACGGAAGTTTCCTCCCCAGGACTCAGAGCCAGCAAGGGGTATCCAATGAATCCCTGTTAATCTCCGAATTCCAATTTTGTTTCTAGGCATCTTGCCTCCTCTGTAATCTGAGAAGCTGGGGTCTAGTCCCTGGGAAGAGCCTACTGTAGGTTCCTAGTTCCTTGTTAGCTATTAGAAAGCCCTTGAAGCTGGTATGGTTAGTCGATGGGTCTGAAACAGGTGACGAGGACGGCATCCATCCTACGGTGAGGAGCCTTGTTACACTATAGTCGGGAAGCCATTCCGGGTTAACATGCATCGGAAACATAGGTATGCGGCGTTCAAGGCACTACGTTCGGGGGTATTGTGTGTTGTTTGGTGCGTAGATCATTGCGGTTGAGAGGTTGCTGGGGAAGTTGCATCTTTCCCGGGGCACGTGGCGGCCTTGCTGCCTGGACCGGCTCGCCAGTTTGTTCCACGTGAAGGTGCATCTCGCATTTGGTCTTTGTGTAACATGAAATATGAGCATCTGGAGCATGGAATTGTCTCTACAAGGTCACTAGCTTCATTGGCGTGAATAGATAGCCACCCGTTCAATGCAAAAGAAGACCTGTATTCTTTGCCTAGTTAAAGACCGTAGAGAGTAACAAGTAAGCGGTCACTACGTACATTGACTAGTATTAGTAGCACTATTAGGGCATTCCTACTTGACCAGCAATATAATATATATATATATACTACACTACCATGCTATACACTAGATCAAGTATATATCATCGTAAGTCGACCATACTGCTACTAATAATACTAGCAATATTGGTTATCAGCTTTCAATTCACTCCTTTTACTAGTATCTACGTGTAGTCAATATGAGTCCATCTCTCAGTAATCCATAGTTCGTATAATATGAACCGATACAAGCATATAGACCATCCACCATGCCCTACCCTAATGCAAACAACAACACCAACAGCAATATACAAACATCCCCATACGGCAATATTATCTTGATCCTAAACACCAAATCTACCAGGGCAACCGACTCCAGATTCATAATTATAGAACTACATGCCCTAATCTCCACCGCACCAAAAGTACCTTAATGCAGCATCGCCTCACCCTAAACCATTCTCTAACGCAATCATACTTTTCGATCGTACATGCTACATACATCCATCCAAGTAATAACCTCGTGCCATGGTTCCCTGCAAGATCGCCTCAAAGCCACGCCATCATGCATTGCATCTCGCATGCACAAGATACCAGCCCCCACATATACCAAATAAGGCCCATTCCAACAAGATATTTGGAAAACTCGACCTTGACCGGGTTAAACTCAAGATTCATATTCATTCTCCTTAACAAAGCCTATCGTTAGGGAAGTCAACCTTGTAGTAAAGCTAAATCTTCCAAGGATATCTAGCTCCCGTTTTTGGAAAAAAGAACCTTGCCTTTCGCATAATTAGTCCGTGTGTATATACCCCTTGATTCGATCCCTACCCGGCCACCTCCCTGCTCTGATCCGGTATAGGATGTGATCGGCGTTTGCTGTTCGGGGGTTTTCGGATTAAAGCTTGCTGTGCCTTAGGTATACAGGAGACTTTTAGTGGTGTAGCTTGGTGGATGTTGAGTTATATTTTCATCGTAGTGGTGGTGAATAGGTGTTAATTAGTCTCGTTCCGACGCATTTTCATAGAGGCTAGTTAGTTCGGATTTCATTGTGGCATATCTGATAGAACTGTATTTACGATTTGGTTAGCGAGTGCAGTTACTATTTGGGTATATGAATATCTTACAATGGCAGGCATCATGAAGCGGTCTGTGTAGCTCAACGACTAGTATCTTCCCCATAATGATATGATAAATGTAGGCTATACTTGATATTTCTGTCTTAGTGACAGTAACAATGTCGTTTCTACATTGCATTACTCCAGGCTTATGATCTGTCAATCCATGTCACTGCAGGTAGTTGCTGTTTTATGTCGGGGGTCTAACTGGAATATACCTGTGAAGTGGTACAAAAACTGCGTACGAATCCAAGCTATTCGGTTAATGCCAATTCTATGGCTCAGTATTTGTTGGTCAATGCTATTTAGCGCTAATACTACTTACTAACTTTAGGTTATTGGTGTAGTACTAGTAGTTGTGACATGAACTCGGCATAATGCGAACGGGAAATATATTTCGCTCGCAACACCCGGTACATTGACAAGTAAGTCCTAATGAAGCGCACATGGAGCACTACTGGTTTGACCTTGTTTCTCATAGCTATATCCAGTAGCTCCACTCAACGAGAAATTTTGAATGGTACACGACCTCTACATATAGATAGCGACAATTCAATTAAACTACTTCATAACCAAGTGAATCTACCTCCGCCTCATCCAATCACATACCGGGAATCACATGACCTCAAAAGACATCTAACCCAAAAAGGTTAGACTAACTACCTCCAGCAACCCAGCTTAGTCATACCGGCAAATCCAACCTTCCGGATTCACATCATAAACCCAGCGAATGAAGCATTGAAAGAACCCCAAGCACCCAGAGGACCGTTGACCTCTGCGCTTCTGCAATCCAAACTCGCAAACACCGCTCAGCTAGCAAGAGGGAAATAGCTAATCGCAGGAGAGATGTCCGCGAATCCTTCGACCGACGACAGCCCATCCGCGGCGGGATCTCCGCCCCAGGTCCCGGAGACCCGAGAATCGCAGCAGCACGAGGAGAAGACCCCGACCGCGGAGGACACAACAACACCCGGCCCTGAAACCAAGGAAACAGAAGAAACAGAACCGAACAGCGAAAAAGAATCAGGAGAGGAGCCAGAGGAGGCAGCCGCAGCAGCAGCAACAGAATCAGAAGCCGCACCCCCGTTACCAGACGAGGTTCCCCCGCCGCTCCCCAACGAAGTACCCCCAGGGGATAATGATAATAAAGACGACGGATGGGAACCCGTCTGGGACCCCACCGCCCAAGCCTATTACTTCTACAATCGCTTCACGGGTGTCTCGCAATGGGAGAACCCGCGGGTACCGGACGTGACGGCTAAGGCGGATGACAACGCCGTCGCGGAGGACGCAGACGCCGCCGCCGCTCCGTCTTCCTCTGCTGCTGCGACCACTGCTGTGGTAGGTGGCTATAATCCCGCCATTCATGGTGATTACGATCCTACGGCGCCTTATGCGCAGCAGTACGAGCAGCCCAATCAGGTTGCTGCGGGGGGAGGGGCGCTGGACCCAGAACAGGCATATGAGGCGGTGGGTGCGTTCAACCGGTTTACGGGGCGGTGGCAGGCGGCGTCGCAGAATACAGAGTACCACAATGATGAGAATAAGTCGCACCGACAGATGTATGCATTCTTTGATGTGGATGCGGCGGCGAATAGTCATGATGGGCGGAGTCTGCGGGCGGAACGGAGTGCGAAGAAGTTAACCAAGAAGGAGCTGAAGATGTTCAAGGAGAAGAGGAGGGAGAAGAAGGAGGAAAAGAGACGGGCGTGGTTGAGGGATTGAAGCTGCTGCTGGGTGCTGCTCGATTGAGCGAGCGCACTTCTTACTTTGCTTTTCTACTTGAGATACCTATTTCTGTTTGTTGTATGCTTACCGAGGATGCATGGCGTTGATGTAGTTATGGGTGCATGATAGAGCGGAATGTACAGTATATTTGCATTTACAACAGCTAACCTAGTATTGCTTCCACTGTATACTTTGTAGTTTTTGCGATAAGAGATGGATAAAGATGGATATAGATGGGTGAGATCCACCTGGTCACCTGACCGGGCATCATCAAAGTTCTCCGCAGACATTAATAGTATTGTCTCGACCACGAAAGACAGCAGCATAGACGCTTGACGATTCACGCATATCGCTGAAGGTAAGACTGGCCGTTCCTTCTTGTTCTCTGCGATAGCAGTTCTTTCTCTTTTTTTGAGCCTGTTTCGAGTGCTATGGAGGGGCAATTCATGTGATGAGGGGCAATACTTTTTTTTTGCAGCAGAAAGATGGAGAAGAAGAAGAGATCAGCGCTGTTATCGCAACAAGACAGTATGCAGAATTGGAGCGCTTCCTTCACAGGCTGAGACTCGTTCAATCCGATCTGTTTGCCGTCTCTCCCATATACAACCGGGGGAGAGTAGCTGGAGGATATCAACTGATATCAAATACCCCTCCATCCATCCATTCATGCATCCCACTTCAACACCACAAATTCCAACTCCCACATTAACCCAAAGCTAACGAGAACCAGACATACAACACAAGATACCCCTAAACCCCCAACCAAAACCACATCAACACCAACAAATCCACCCATCAAAATGGTCACCCTAACCCCCGACACAATCGACGACCTAATCTACTCCGCGCGTGCGGGCGAGCTCCAAGACCTGCAAACGGACTTAACCACCCTCGCAACCCAAACGTCCACTTCCCCGGCACACATCATCGCCGCAGCAATCGACACGGCCCCTCAAGAAGAAGGTGGAAGTGGGTCGAGTCTGTTGCATTATCCTGCTGCGAATGGGAACCTAGGTACATTCCATCCGTCCCCTTCCCTCCTTCTTCCCCGGGATAGGATATAATTGCGTCTGCGACAACATTTCCCATCCTTGATAGTCCACTAATATACTGAATGATATACTAATGTGAATGGTATCCAGAAATCCTAACCTACCTCCTCACCACCCTAACCACCCTCCCCAGCCGTCCAGAAATCACCAAAGTCCTCAACCACCGGAACTACTCAGGAAACACGCCTTTGCACTGGGCGGCGCTGAACACGCATCTGGAGTGTGTGAAGGCGCTGGTAGAGGCGGGCGCGGATGTCGGGGTGAAGAATGATGCGGGACTGGATGCGGTGTTTTTGGCGGAGCGGGCGGATTGGAAGACCCAGGAGGAGGGAGGGGCTGAGGACGATAATGGGGATGAGGAGGTGGAGGTTCAGATTGGTGGGGAGGGTGGAGAACAGAAACAGGATGCTGGGGAGATGACGAGGGGGAGACAGGTTGTTGAGTGGTTGTTGAGTTCGGAGAAGGCGGCGGAGTCGTTGGAGAAGGCTGCTAGTAAGGATAAGGATGAGAAGAAGGGTGAGGAGGAGGGGGGGGAGAAGATGGATACCACGAATTAATTTTCTTATTACGATCATATATAATCATGATGATGATGGCGGTGGAGGAGAAGTTATGGCTTTAGGTTGGGTTCAACTGGTATAGTATAGACTTGCATCATACATAAAAGTTCATTGCGCTCTTGGTCTTTCGTGGTCTGGTCTTACTCTAGTTTACAAACATTGTACAACATAAGTGGTATGAGGTTAGTCTCGTCGGGCTTTAGACGACGACGACGAGCTGGATCGTGAAGACGATGACCCCTTCACTGCGAGAGAATCTCCCCCGATCTCCCGCACTTTCATATCCAATCCCACGCGGAACTGTCGATCCCGCCAGATCACCGTCACGCCGCCATACACTGCCCACAGCCAGATCGGAAACGCCAGCATCTCCCGGCCCAGCCAGGCCGTGAACCACGCCCGGAAGGGCCGGCGCGTTACGCCTCGGGGCGGCCGCGCGAATGACGGCGTGTCTTCGTCCAGCTCCACCGTCTTGCCGCTGTGCAGCATAATGTACACGGTCCAGTCGATGAGGATCCACGTCACTATGCTCAGGCAGAAGAAGCCCCAGAATGCGGTCCAGGTCGACAGTGCCTCTGCAATGGCATACCCTTGTTCTCCGAGGTATTGTGCCAGAGCTGTCGTGACACCCCATGCTCCGTAGCAAGAGCATAGGATTGACTCGGTGCCTGGCTCAACCAGCGTCGCGAGGACCACGGTGAACTTGCGCACGCGTAGCCATCGCACTCGGCGAGCCACGTACGCCTGCACGCTCATGTTAGCGACGGGCTGGAAGGCCAGATCTCCGAACACCAGGGCGTGTTTGCCCCAGCGCTCTCCTTGCTCTTTCTCCCCGCGGACCTGTTTTCTCCAAAGCAGGTCTCCGATCAGGTGGTCTTCACAGATGTTATCTGAGAAGTAGTCGATGCCCGCGTTCCGCCGGTGGGGATCTGCCGGAGACGGCGCAGTGAGGTAGTCGAGATGCGAGCGGCGGAACATGTTCGACTTGCCCACGATGCATGGCGCGATCAGAACAGTGTTGATGGCGGTGTACATTTTCGCATGCGAGGACGACAGGAACAGTTCTTCCAAGCGGCCACCACCGGTCGCCAGCATACCAGCCCCGTGGTCCATGACCATGGCGGTCTCGCTGCTGTCGCGACTGTCATTCCGGTTCGTGTGAGCCTCCAACAGCGCTTCCTGCTCCTCCATGAGACCAGCGGTTCCCGTCATGTCCACTGCAACCGGCAGGTGGTGCACGAACTTGTATCTCTTCGTCGAATCGGCACCCGTTCCGCATAGCTTGTCCACCATGCGTCCACAGACACCCCTGCCGACCCACGCATTGCAGTCGATAATCCAGACAATATCCCCTTTGGCTTCACGGTAGGCACGACTCATGTTCCGGATCTTGGGGTTAGGCCCCAAGTCGTAGGCGGGGACGTGGCCCGGCTGGAGTAACGGGTCATCGTCTTCGACGTAAAGCCGTACATCAAACCGCGAAAAGTCCGACACCAGTTTCTGGAGGATAGGATAGGCAGGATCACTGCGGGAGGACACGCAGAAGCAAACAGTCAGCTTATCGCGAGGGTAGTCCTGTCGGAAGGTCGAAGCCAGGCACTCGTAGAGATGGGGTTCGAGACCCTTCACCGGTCGGATCGCGGTGACGTGGGGGGCGTTCGAAGCCGATGCGGATGAAGATTTCCGGGGTTTCCTCAAATAAAAGCGCCATCTGGTGGGAATAGCAGGTGGAGAGTCAGCAAAGATGCCAAGCCTGATTGAGATGGGATGGAGAGAAACAGAAAGGTAGAGTTACAGCTGAAAGTAGCCCAGCATGCAGACAACCACCACGACGGTATACCAAATCAATCCCACCCAACCGGCCGCGACAGCCCACTGCCAACCGCCATGGTTGATGGCTGGTTCAGCATCGGGGGGTTGCGAACGCGACTGAGGCTCTAACATAGGCGGACACAGCGAGAGGCGGAGATCTGGCAGTAGGCAGAACAGGACGATGAGGACATTCTAGGGAAAGACGCAGACGAGCCAGCAGGCAGTGAGACGAAATGCGAAGTGGAGAGAAACGAGAGAAATGCGGTCGGGGCCACAAGTCGTATTCGTTGCTTTTTTTTCCTCGACTGGGGAGCGACGGCCACGCAAACCGTCAAGCTGCAGCGAGAAACAGACGGTAGACAAGCAATGAACCGTCGAGCCGAAGGACACTAGTGTTCCAGTCGGATCCAGCGGATGGTTGGCTCGGGCGCTGCTGGTGGGTTTCACCGGCGAGGTTTTGCGCTGTTCATCTTTAGTTGGTTTAGTGAAACCGGCGGATGCTCGGATGCAGCCGCACTGCCTCCCCCCGGCCTCAGGCACAGTTCCACTATAAAACATTATATTTCACTGCCTGCTTGGATGCCGTGGCTCCACGCTTATTATCTATTCCATCGAACCTGTCGGAGGAGTGTTCAACCGGTCATATAGCCAGTAAATGAGTAAATATGATATAGAATAAAAGTCCCAAAAATTGTCCTATTATACAAAATGCAAATCCATCCATCGCCAAATGCCCACCCAATTCCGACTCCGCATATGCAATTTACATGAGCTCGTCGGTGACCCCAAAAGAATACAATTAAGAACTAGCCAAACCGACACGAGTAGGGTCTGTTCACGTCTTTTTCTTCTTCCGAATCAAGTTGGCTTGGAGAACGTTGACAGCCGGCGATGGATCCGACCCAGAAGATGCCGGAGGAGCCGCCGTTGATGCTCCAGCGTTACCACCCTTATCACCAGATTTGCTGTCCTGCTCAACTTCTGCATCGGGCTTCTTGCGCTTGCGAACAAGTCCGGTGGTCATGAGTGTATTGACCTCCAGAGGCTTCTGGGAAGATTCATCCTTCGTGTTTCGTCCCACCACCAGCTGTCCAACCCATAGTTGATCTGCGAGGGAGGCTACCTTTTCACCCCATGCCTTTGTGCTAGCAATAGCAGCCTCTTCAGTATCAAAATCTTGATCAAGCAGGAAGTTGATCGCCGTTTTGTAGTCTGCTTCGCTCAGAACCGCATGTCCTCGCCCAGCTTCAGGCCAATGAAAGGCATCGGCATCCGAGGGCTGCGGGGGCTGAGTTTTAGTTTCAGATGGTATAGCAGCTGGCTGGGGTGCTGAAGTAGAAGTACATTCACCCTTAGGGTCTGATGGTAGTTGCTTATCATGGTCTGTTGTCGTAGGATGCTCTGGAGCGGATGCAGCATCACTGGCCGGCTTTGTACTTGTCACACTTTCGCCAGACATCACCTGGGACACATGGTCCGTCAGGCTCTTGGAGTCGCCAAGGACAGACCGAGAACTGGTCATCTGTACCGAGTTCACAAGTCCGGGAGGATTGATAACAAGCCACAGAAACCCAACCAGTCGTCCAGCCGAGCATTCTTGTCGGAACGACATCATCTCCCAGAACTGCTCCAAAGATCTGACGCTTCGCCATTGACCCGCAGTTTCTGCGGATACTACTCCCTCCGCTTCCTGCTTTGGAAGCTCATCATCCAAGTCCACCAAGAAGCGTGTTTTGGGGT